ATAATTCTTCGTGATTTTACATGTTCTTATTGTAGGCTGTCTTTCGAGTTACTAGTTGTTATAATGATCTTCATAGTGAACTTATCAAAACATTTTATTACATGACTTTAGATCCTCCATATTCTAGTAATAATTTCATAGAGAGTCAATAACTGATGTGTTCAAGTCTTTCGTTTTACTTACATAATCATGTAAGTTCTGTTTGTAAATAATACATCTGACTATGACCATATTTCTGGTCTTAAAGTGATCTGATTGAATATTTCAAAAAGACGCTAACACTGAACTATTAAACAGAAATCAATCGACCCTTCAGTTATCTTTAAAAGCTTATAGTCAAACTCTCCAATAAAATCCAAATAATTCAAACATTTCAAATATAAACATACTGCGATAATGATTATTAAAAAAATTGAAAACTGTCATAAAAAATTAATCTGATCAAAACTGCCCCCAAGAGGTTTATGCTTCGATTTTATGGCTTATATTTTTCATTCCATATTGAGTTACATAGATAAATTGACATTTCAGTTATACAGTTAAAGTTGAGATTAATTTACATTGTTCGAACACAAAAGTCTACTTAATCAGTTCAACAGAGGCGGCAATTTCGCACAAAACTAATGACGGCTATCAGGACTCAGTAGATAACACGATGGCATTTGAAGTGAACGGTACTGGGTTCGAGTCGCAGAGGGAATATCCATTTTGTGATGCTGGTACATCCAGCTGATGTGTTCTGATTTCCACCACCAGCCACCATCTATCTTTGCTCATAAAGCTTTTGACTTAAGGCAATATCGAAGCAATCCACACAGGATGCAATTGTGAAGCTGATTTTGTTTCATGAATAAAGTTCCGCTGAATATATTTACTTACTTTATTATGCATTTGCTATTCACCTGTTACTTTACTCTAAATATCTCAACATTTAAACAGAATTCAATGATTTATCGAGTTGAACAAGTCAAGAGTGAGGATAATGACAAATAACGATAATCGATCGTTAATATCACAGACTGATCCTAGCGAAATAGCTATTGAAAACTAACAAGTGTTGGACAGTTGATTCATTATAGCATAAAGCTCAGCAGAGAACACTGGCAACTTCTGAGGACCTTCAGGTCTCATGATGAGCACTTGACCTTGAGTGCAGGGTGCTATCATCCACTTGTTTGATTGTTTGACTTCAATCAGTTCTCTGTACTTCGAAACCGTCTGACATTTGAGATGGCTAGACTTCATTGATAACAGCTTTTCGAATCGTAGATGCGCACTGCTGAGGAGTCCCACAGTAGGACGAAACGGCCGTCCGATGCTTCCAGGTTTTAAATAGTGATCTAACAACAATCGATTCATGATCCCAATCAAAAACTTAATAATCTCCACAACCCTATACTAATAATTACCATGTGCTAATTAGTGACTAGATTCGTGGGGGAATTCTCGGATTTCTAGTGGGGATCCGTGATCAGTGGAGCTAATCTACGTCAGGTAGATACCGGTGTCTTCCTCAGTACAATGGAAGATGGTCGCTCAATTTCGTGGATTGATTGAGGTTAGACATTAACATTGTTGGATGCCGGCTCAATGGTCTAGAGTTTAAACGTTTGCGCGCGAGATCGAAGGCTCTGGGTTCGAATCTCGAGATGCAGGATTGTGGATGCACACTGCTGAGAACTCTCACAATAAGGCGAAACGGTCATCCACTACTTCCAGGTTTTTAATGATGGTCAGACATTAATTGGTTCATAATCTCAATCCAAAAAGCTAATTATTAGCTAAATTCACAGATTAATATGAAATGTCAGATGGGTTTTGTGGAGATTGTAGTAATTTCAATGGTTAAGATTATCAGTCACTTGAAGCTAGACCACCATGGAAAACCTGAAAGCACAGGACGGCCGTTTCGTCCTATTGTGGGACTCCTCAGAAGTCCGCATCCACGACCTCGCCCCCTGCGAGATTCCAGCTTAGGACCTACTGGTTTCGCGAGCGAGCACTTAACCACTAGATCACTGAGCCGGCGTCCAACGGCGCTAATGTCTAACTTCAACTAATACACGAAATTGAGCGACACATCTACCACTGTCTTCAGTGAGTCACTATCTCACAACAGACCTGGTTGGACTCCACTGGTCACAGCTTCTCACTAGAACTTCAGGATATACCTCGTGAAGCCAATCACTAGTCAGCATATGTTGATTAATATGAAATGTTTTCATTTTATTACCTGAATGAGATAATTAATAAGTACGACGTTCAGGGTTAAAAGAAATTATCTAGTTAGCTTGCTTTAGAGATTATTTTTTGTAAGTTATAACAGAGAAAACAGGTATTTATTCCCTTCTCTTATTTATAATGTTAGAAAAGTTATATTAATTATTTATCTATATTAAGTTAAAGAAAACAAAGGAATAATTTTTAACACAAATTGTTAGATAACTATACAGATTATTAGTTTATTGTAATAATATATCTTTTACAACCCTCTGATACCATGTCCCAACAGGATTTAACCGGAAGTGTAGACAATTCTTCAAGTATAATTTAGTCATATTTCATCATGAACTTTTGAATGAAAATCCACAAAACTCAAATATTTATTTACATCTCATACACAAATAGTTTCATTTATAGTTCGGTCAATACAATCATAAAATGATAAAAATTTTAATTAATCCCATGTTGGAAACACTACTATACGATCTAGTTTCTTATGGTTCTTCTATGAATGCATATATTTATTAAATCACCATAAACACAACTATACAGCTTCGGTAAATAATATCGTGGAATAAAGTTTTCTGAGCAGAATTGCCTTTATTCTTTATTAAACGAAACAATGTATATTTTTCATTAATTACTTCTATCGCGATTGATCTACTATCAGTAAAAGTAGGATATTCACTCTGATTATCTACACATTGTTTTAGATATAGCAACCTCTTAACTGATATTCATCAGATAGACATAGTTATATCAAGCTCATGAGTTATTATTTAGTGATTTATATATACGAATATCTATACAAAACTTAACATTCTCTGTAGATAGTTGCATTTCGCCTAATGAAAGAGTCTATGTTCGTGTATTTTTTTTCATTGAACATTGAGGTCTCTTGGACTGATGATGACAGTGAAATTTGATCTTCGCAAGAAGATAAGTACCAAAAAACAAGATAAAATGACGTTATTAGATAATATTCAGTAGTCAGTCAATGTTTTCTTTAGAAATATTTATCGTAGGAACTAAGAATATGAAGATTTATCTATGTCATTAAAACAGACCAACTAATAAAGTACAATATCACCAAAGCAAAATCGAAACTGGACTTAATCATAAAATGATGGTTGTAGATAGTCAACAGGAAACCCTGGATCCAGATTTCGTGCTATTTCGCACATGTCAACAAAGTGCACCTGTAATCATAAGGATTTGACACATATGGCATTGATCACCACCCAGTAATCAATCAATTGTGGATCTAATCATGTATTACATAGAAAAACTGTTTCAAATCTTTTATATATGTTATTTCCAAGTAGAAATTGAAGAAGAATTTATACGGTGATTCAGTGCATTATTTGAATTCACTCAATCTTTATATAATTTCATAATTCTTATATTTCCACAAATTATATTTGACTAAACAAAATAGATTGTTTGCTTGGAATTCTGATAAATCTTGGTATTTTTGCCGGATGATTAGACAAAAGTAGATATAATCAATTGATAGAACGTTTATAGTTAGTTCACTCCATACTATTGTAGGATCATTATCCAAAAATACAACAATAATAAAATGAAATCCTTAAAAATAAAACATACCGCAGAACTATAGTATTAAAGGTGAAATTTTAAGAAAATGTATACATTTATGCTGGTAAGGTTGTTAATTCTATCTTATTTAGAATGTTAATACAACTGACACTGTAGTGTCGGTTATTATGTTAAGCCCATATACCTTATTTTAGCTTTCAGACAGGTTAATCTATTTATTCTACTTAAGTCATATTTTGACCTTGTTAATTATTCGCTTATCAATCTTGACTGTTTTTGTATGACCGCATATGTGAGTGCCCTTCTTATCCCATTCATCACATGTCTGTAACCTATTTTTGTGTAACTATAAATATTGATTAACGCTTGATTAAATGGAGTTGGCTTATGTGCCTTCTCCACTCTGCGTCGTTTCGCTTCTCTCTCTTCCGTTCGCTTCATATACGGAATATATGTATTCGAAAGTCCATTCTCGTTATTTGACTTATTTAGTCCTGTTATTGACTAACGCGAATTATGTCGATGATTATATACGAGGATAGGCTATAACAAACCATCATACTATGTAATTGGAATCAGATCCCGGGCCATTAAAACAGCAATCTACAATACAAATAACTTACAAAAACGAACATATTTCACTTTGTGACTTTAAAACACAATCATTTCATATAGTTAACTCATAAATCTTTTATTGTATCAACCTTAAAGACAAACACAGATCATTTTTATTTAAATAAGGACAAATAAACAGATAATTTGATATACTATAATTAAGATATTACAGCAAATGGAAATATATAACCTTTCATTATCCCTCGTATTCTTTTCTCTCCATTTTCTTTGCAATTCGGATTGTTTGTGTGAAGAAGTAAAGAAGTCATATTCTGATAAGATAGTTTTGATTTGTGAGTAAACAGATTCATACACACGCACACACACATACACAAACGAATATACACGTTGAAAACGTTTTAATAATCAAGTAAATAAATGAAGTTGTACTTATTAAGTCAATATTTTCGTTGATTATCATATTTTGTATTTCCTATCTTTATTCAGTAAAAATAATGATAAAAATAAGTAAAACACTATTATTTACTCATTATTTCTTCGTTACTTTTCTCTTTTTATTTCTTTTTTTCATGTATCTATATCAATCTATTTACAAATTGGATCTGAAAACAAAATCTCAATGAATTGATAACAAAATTAAGATTGAAAATTATCTGGAATTCAATTACAATCTTATTTATCAAAATTATAATAACAAAATTTCTCATATTAATTATGATTACCATGATATTTTTCAAATAATCTACCAGTTATATAGTCAAAATAAATCATTCAATTTTAGTTATATAATTTCAATGAATTATCAAGATAAGAATATGTTTGTTATTAATGCTGATTTGTTAGATATTAAGTCAGTAATCGGTTCCAATGAACACAGTGAGTAATTTATATATATGTATATATTTGCTCATAAAGCTTGTGACTTAAAACAATATCGAGTCAATCCACAAAGGATTCACACATACCAACAACAGACTTATCAATTACAGTACTAAACAACATTGGAAAGATAAAAGCAAACAACATCAAGTGAATTGAAAACTTTACGCAATTGCACAAACGAGTGTCTTTCAGAACTCTGTAGTTAAGTTGATAACACGATGGTGTTTGAAGCGAATGGTATTGGGTTCGAGTCCCAGAGTGATCATCGATTCTGTGATTCAGGCGTATCCATCTGACATGTCCCAAATAAGACGAAATGTACGTCCTGATTTCCGTTACTAGCCACTATCCATCCTTGCTTATAAAGCTTGTGTCTTGAAGTAATATCGAGTCAATCCACACAGGATTCATATACGCCAACAAGAGACTGATCAAATCAAGTTCTAAATAACATTGGGAAGATACAAGCAAACATCATCAAGTGAATATGTATATATATATATATTCGAATTTTGTTACCATACTACATTAATTACCCATAAACTGAATACTTCTGCTGTACTGTCTATTGAAAATAAACAAGGATTCCAGGCACAAATCTAACTCACATATATGACACAGAATCATAATGTAAAATTAATTCCCAATTACTTAATAATGTACAAGAAAAAAAGAATGTAATGTGTATCTGTTTTTCTTTTTAGAGAGCCGATAATATATCATAAAGAAAACTGTTTATGTATAATAGTACTAGAAGAAATATAATATAAAATGGAAACCCAGTAAAATGAAAACAAACATTGAATATCTATTTTGTTTATAATTTATCCATTATAATTATTCAATTACTAATTCTATCATGTCACTATTAATCAATCATTTTATACATAAATTAGGTTACAATTGCCAAATGTCAATATTATTTTATTATCCATAAGATCATTCATTATGGAACAACATAATTGTTGCCTAAACTTACAAATTCTAATTATAAAAATTAATTATGATAAAATAAATCAGTGATAATGCACCATGAGAAATTAATTTCATTATTAGTTATATGTCTTAGTGCTAGTGATAATTTATAATTAAAGATGTCATAATCAATAAATGAATGATTGTTTTTTCTTGAGATTACATTGAATTATGTAAAGAAAAATTCAACTTGACTAGATTTCTTCCTGTTGTTGTGTCAGTTACTATGTTAAGCCTATATAATTTATTCTAGATTCCAGGCAGGCTGATCTATTCATCCTTCTTGAGTCATGTTTTGACTCACATATATGGGAGTATGTGTGTGTGTGTGCACTTCTAATCCTACTCATCACATGTCTATAGCTTATTTTTTTGTGACTATAAATAATGATGAACGCTAGGTTAAATCGAGTTGGCTTACATGCCTTCTATACTGCGTATCATCTTGCTTCGCTATTTTCGCTTCGTTTCTTCAATCATTTGTCTGGATCAACGATTATATGAATATACGTGTATTCGTAATTTATTCTCGTATTTGACTTATTTGATTCTGTTATTCACGAATGTCATTTAAGCCGATAATTTTATACGAAAATTGACGATATGTATATTTTAACAACATTCACTCATACGTTTAAATTCATTTGGTGTTGTTTGCTTGTATCTTCCCAATGTTATTTAGAACTTGATTTGATCAGTCTCTTGTTGGCATATGTGAACCCTGTGTGGATTGACTCGATATTACTTCAAGACACAAGCTTTATGAGCAAAAATCGATGGTGTCCACCAGTGAGATCCAGTTTGATGCGCGTTTCGTTCTATTTGGGACATGTCAGATGGATGTACCTGCATCACAGAATCGATGATCACTCTGGGACTCGAACCCAATACCATTCGCTTCAAACACCATCGTGTTATCAACTTAACTACAGAGTTCTGAAAGACACTCGTTTGTGCAATTGCGTAAAGTTTTCAATTCACTTGATGTTGTTTTCTTGTATCCTACCATTGTTGTTTGGGACTGTAATTGATATACGTGAATCCTGTGATGATAGCCTCGTTATTGCCCTAAGTCAAAAGCTTTTTTAATTAAAGTCAGATATAAGGCCACAAAACTCGATTGAAAATCAATTTAATTCATCATTTGTAATTTTCTTATTCTGTTAGTTTTTCTTCTTCTTTTTTCCTCTTTTTTTCTTCTTCTTCCTCTTTTTTTTCAGTACATTAATTATTCATTTTATATTAAAATTCATAATGAAGTTTTTTAACTTAAAAATTAGAAAAATTGTCAAGTAATCTATTATTGTTCTGTTCACAATAATAAGACAATTTGCTTAATATAAACTCAAATTAATTATTGATAGTATGACCTGAATAAAAATTTAAAAAAACTTTAGTAGTTCATGAATCAATTAAAGGTAGACTACTATGAAAAACCTGAAAACACTGAACAACCATTTTCTATGGTGACTGACTCATGAATTTAACTATTATATCGCTAAAATCTTCATAAAACCCCTTTCTTATAAGAAAAAAGTAAGATTAACTGAATTATGATATGTTTTTTTTCTGTGTAATGCTCATTTTATAACAAGATTAAAAATCTTTTCAAAAAGAAAAAAAAGAAAAAAATAAGAGTTCTCATCATGATAAAGTTTTTTTCTCTGGATGGTTTGGTCGTGGAACTTTCATCGTCCTTCCGAACAAAATCATTAGAACAAACTTCAAATAGAATTGAAGCGTTCGAATTTCTCCATATGTGGTTCACACCTTGTCCTATAGACTTCGATGTTGATTGGTTCTTGTTGACCTTAAACTTATCATTGTTTACTTCTTTGCCTTGGTTATATCTCCCATTGGTTTGATTTTTGTTCCTATGTTTATAAATAATTTTCCAACCACTCCATCAAATCCCCCACACAATTCTTGGATCAAATTAAGAACATTCAAATCAACAACGATGAGCTGATGATATCCTTCGATGTAACAGCGTTATTAACCTCAATTGAACCAAGGTTAGCAATGGAAATTATATCCCTTCTTCTCACCAACGACACAAATCTCACAAAGTACACGAAGCTTCAAATTCAAAGTCTACTAGAGCTCATCAATTTATGCCTAACAACATATGGTCAATTCAACAAAAAAATCTACAAACAAACGAAAGGGACACCGATGGGATCACCTATATCAGGACTGACCGCAGAAGCAGTGATGCAGAGACCTGAGATTACAGTGAACTGAAAAAGAAAAATCTTGCTATAGATGGTAACCTTAAAACTAGTCATATGTAGTAAAACCGGAGTCTATTTCATCGAATATATTGTGGAACACTAAGAGCTACACTGTGATGTATGAAAATCTTTTATTATTTGTAATTGCAGACTTATTTCTGTTACAATAATGAAATTTATGTATTCAACTCATAAGTTTACTGATGTTTAACTGTATTTAAATATAGAAACATGCCTGTACGACATGTATAATTTTAGAAACCCTTTGAAATATCATGACATGTTATAAATCGTAATTTTGTGTTTAAACTTTCGAAGAATAACCAATCCATATTTTAGCCACTATTTATGACAAATATTTTATATGTAGACTGAGGAAACAAATTGATTGTAAAAGCTTTTAATTTATAGTCTTTACCATTTGACAAGAACAGTCATTGCTTGAATCCATTCAATAAAACGTTTACACTAATCTTAATAAGACTAAATAGAGTTTGTATCAACATGTGAATCTATGATGTGTACTAGATAATTAAATATATTTGATTCACAGATACGATACTGCAAATCAAATTAACCAAGAATTATGGCGCCATGTTACAAGTAATCAGTCATCATCAGTCAATCAATCAAAGTAATTTGAATGGTCGTTTAATAGTACACTTAGATCATTCAAACATTCTTCATTTATTTTCGTACTGGAGACCAGAAATAAGTGAAGATTTATCAGTAAGTATGTGTAAAATTCTTTTTGATTTGTGCAAATGTCTAGTTTATAGGATGAAGATAATGAATGATGAATGCGATTATCATCATTTTATAAATAAAAATAATATATTTGTAATATCCCAATGAGTAGAAAATTGGATTTTTCTGACGTTTCGTGGCTTAGTGTAGGTCACTTCTCCAGAGAATAAATAACCAAATTAAATTAATTCAAGTTTAAATAGTACAACGGAACAATGCAAGAATAATATTTGATCAATCAAAAACAGGTCTGAACAAGTTGATGTCATGTCATTTCTGTCAAGGTGATTCATAAGTGATAAGTATGTAAATTTGTGTGTGTATGTATGTGTGCATTGTTTAAGAATGAACACTTGTGTGACCTATATGGTAAGAAAGGATTGATCAAATATTATTCTTGCATTGTTCCGTTGTACTATTTAAACTTGGATTAATTTAATTTGGTTATTTATTCTCTGAAGAAGTGACTTACACTAAGCCACGAAACGTCAGAAAAATCCAATTTTCTACTCATTGGGATATTACAAATATATTATTTTCATTTATAACAATCAACCCAATGCTCAATTTATTCGAAATTATCAAATCAAACCTCGGTAATGACACCTACAATATCATCATTTTAGTTCATTTAAATTTAATTGATGAGTAACAAACCAAACTAAACACACCAGCAGTTTGTTGTGTCTTTAATTCTGGCTAGTTATCACGCAATTCATTCGCTAATCAAAATGCGACTTATACGTTCTTGTAGTGTACTAAACCAATGACGTTCGTTCGGTCTGATCAGCCTAGCGTCCTATTAGTCCATTGCTCACCTAGCCCGTCCAGATGAGTCCAGAGTGCTAATAACAGCCTCCACTAGACGAATCATTTATTCTCAACATAATGTTTATATATCAACCAAACGGCCCGCAACGCACCGTAAAATAGAAAATAACATTTATACACAATAAAGCCAAAATGTGGATGTGAACGTGTAAATTAAGAACAGTAAATCGTACAATAATAATCTATAGGTCAAAATGAAGCTTATAATAAGGGGAATATAGGTATACATAATCTTATTACTGAGTAGCTATACCGTAATAATATATAGATAATATTTGTCCATTAATAGGTCTCAGAAGTTACTCGTAATTTAATCTTTGCTAGGACATAACAAAATTACGTTACTTAACATCTTTACAAACTCCGACACTACTATTATTATGCAGGAGCGACAAAAAGTTGACATGGGATTAACAAATAGCATATTTTTGAAAACAACTGTCGATAGGCCCATATAGTAACAAAAATTAACGTTTAACATAGAATATATGTACATATAACCAATAAATTAATTAATACATATTTTTAGCATCTTAACAAGAATGAAATTGTCTTATATGAATAATTAAAACAATTGGTTTTCAGTAATCTAATTCAAAACTTCTTTACTTCACACTTCCTTCATCTGACACATTATAATATTTAAAAATTGAACTTAAGTATATATATCATTAATTCTATAGTCTTCGTAAAATAAAACTCATTTTCAAGTCTACTATATTCTAATTTCAATTAAATTGTTAAATAGCATGTTTAGAATCCAACATAAATTAAGGATTATGTAACATGATATTATAAACAATAAGTTATGTTGTAGTGAACAAGAACACCGGTGGAGACAATCGAATGTATTCAACACAGAATTACAGAAATTGTTCATAATACCCAACAATCAAATAGTAAACACGTAATTTGCAAAATGTCCATCAGTTGCCTATTAATGACTCAAACTTCATTGTCCTTGCATTTTCATACAAATTGCATTCTGTTTCCATTCTTTACTGTTCGATCCTCTTGTCTCTCTGATGCCAGACCTTCTGTTCACGAGTAACGTTATATACTACTTATGTCAATATAAGTAGCACACACCACAATGTATGAACTAATGAATGCATATATGAAATTTTATTAACATTTTCATCTATGCTATCATTGTTTATGATTGGTAAGTTTTATAATTAGTTTAATAGGATAACTTTTCTTCAAAAAAATCAATATGAACATAATTATCTGTTTCTATATTTAAAGAGGAAAAAAATGTTATCTAATCACTTTTTCCTTCTTTTTTTTCTTTCTTTCAATATTTTTCTTATATCAAGTTATCTATGAATGGATTACCTAAACAAATCAATTCTATAATTCAATTTAGTTTTTCTAAAATATATCAATATGGAAAACAATTCATTATTATGTTTACAAATAACTTAATGAATTCTATAGATCAAATACAATTTATTCAATTTATTAATATAATTTATTCTGATTTAGAATATACTACTTATTTACTTATATATTGGATAAATAATGAATCTATTTTTATTGAATCAATCAATATTCCAATAATTAAAAATATATTATCAATGAATTTAAATATAACAAAATTAATTTTTTTGGAAAAATGGCATGGATACAATAAAATGTTCAATAATTTAATTCAATCTAAATTCAATTTAATAAAATATTTTGATAACATTTATAAACATTTAATGGTAAGTTAATATAATATAGTACAATGTCAATATCTTTCATTTAATGTGTGTTTTTTGCTTTTGTTGGTGTTGGTGTTGTTGTTGCTTGAGATCATGAATTGATTCATGTTAAATAATCATCATTGAGATTATAAATCAAAACTTTAATGATCTCCATAATTCTATAGTGATAATTTAACTTCGTATTATGCAATGAGAAGATGAATTTTATCAGCATTATGCATTATATTTACGCAATACATTTCGAACAATCTAACCACATGTAATATACTTGTTAAGACATTTTTATATGAGAATTAAAAAATCAACTAGATAGAATAAAGGTAAGCTGTAAGGAAGAAGGAAAATGAAGTACACAAAAACAATGTGATAACCGCTCTAGATAATAAATCAGTATTACCAGGGTAGGTTAAGGTTAAGGACAAATTGTTTTTGAACACATAAAGGAGGTTTCACTTTCCGTATAGCCAAGGCTCCAATAAACCTTAGTATATGTCCTTGAACGCTTTTGTACAACACTACAAATGCTGACTTGATAGGTCCTGGCTTCGAATCTCGCGGGGGGCAGGATCTTGGAGTGCCACATTAGGACGAAACGGCCGTCCAGGACTTCCAGGTTTTCCATAGTTGTCTACCTTCAACTGACTCATGATTTCAACTATTGGAATTACTAAAATCTTCACAAATCCCCTTCTGGTAAATCTTATGATCAGTCTTAATCAAATGTTTCGCAATAAAGGAAAATACCAGTCTATCCTGTGGTCTTATTTGACCATTGGAATTCATTTGTTTATGTTTAATTGAATTGTTCGGTTACTATATACCGTATTTTTATAATGGTGAATATGTATTTCAGACTGTCATTTGTGACAAAAATGATTAACACTTATCTTGGAGTAATCCTAATTTAATTTAATTTAATTTCAATCATAACAACTAACTATATAGAATTATTTGTAGATGAACTAAATTTCTTGTCAGATATTGTGATTGATAGAAAGTAATTATGAGAAATGTATGTTGCATAAAACAAGACATGGTCAAAACACAAAACGAACATGCTATGATTTTGTCTAAGTTAGTAACAATAGGTTCACAGACAGAGCTTATATATATAAATTGCTCAGTCCCAAAATATCAATCAGAACAAACGAGAGAACATCCAAGTACTTTGTATTATTCTGTCTCATTCAAGCATGAAAAATTATACGGTTACATATATAAAATACAAGATCGTGATGCAACATAGCTAATTAGTCTCAACTTCTACATCACTAAGACATATGTAGTACAAATCAAAGCAACAAGTATATTATCAATGAACTATAATTTATGAACCTGAAAAGGGCATGGATATCGTCTAATACCGTCAAATAAACGTTTGCTATCAGAACAAGATAGAACATACCATAAACCAATCATTTAATCAATAAACATAAGAAGTATGTATATTGATTATTCAGAGGATTTTCATGTTTTTAGATATTTAATCAAAATTGACAAAGTGATATTTAAATCCTCAGAGTTGTTCATCGTTATATTTTCAATAATACGTGAAATAAGTTTCCAAAAGTATTGGATTGATTGTCACGAAAAGACTAGACAATGTATCAATTACTTAACTATACCAATAATATCTAACAGAAATAACCGGGATTAAGAGTAATTTAGACAACAATTATTTGTGAATCGAAAATGATTGGGAATTAGTCAATATTTTGACTGAGCTAATACATTACAATTTTGTATTGATCAGTTGAAAGGGTGCTTTGAAATTAATGTTTATGGTTTTGACCATCTCAGTGATGTATTATCACAGCCAATAAAGCAACTGTGTTGCTTGTAAGAGTATATCATTAGCTACCATGAAGTTATAAATTCTATATTTACCTACTATGTTATTCCAGATAGTCGTACATGGATACAATACAGCAAATTGTAAATAATATTAACAGTATATTCTTATAAAACGTGGTGGTCATGACCATTTTGGCAAACCTTTAAGTGGCTCAGAATGAAGGTTTAAAGTTCATTTTTGATCAGCTTTAACAATCAAATGTTTATTTCACTACAAGAAAGACTTAATTTTATTTGAAGAAAACATGCATTCTGTATGAATATGATTGTTTTTCGCACGAAAAACAAATGTATTGCGTTCAACATTTTATCAATCTTAACGTTAGCATCTATTTCTATTGGCATATAATCAGTTAGTTCTTATCAAACACTATAGAAATAAGAATGTCTCGACACTAACGATTTCCCTATTCTATCTAATTAAAGACAATAGTCGTTTTTTAAACTAAAATTCAATGTTTTAAATGCTTTCATAGTCTAAATCATGAACCGTTCTTAACTCGACCACCACTGAAGACCTGAAAGCACTGAACGGCCGTTTCGTTCTAGTGTAAGACTCATCAGCAGTGTGTAGCCATTACCTCACATCCGTGAATTAAACCTAGGACATTCGCTTTGGTGTGAAAACGATTAACCTCTTGATCACTAAGCTGTAACCAAATGTTACATTGATGCGCAATCCTGATCTATTGCCTTCATACATTTATTTGAAAAACACACAATTTCATAAATATGACAGTTCAAGCTATTGCTGTTAAGTATAATCTAGATTAGCTTACTCTTCGTCAGTTATTCATTATTAAATAATCGAATAGAATATTACTTTAACTTATAACTTTCAGTTTAAAATTCTTGTTTAAATTATGCTGATAAATCATGAAATATACTTTTTTAAAACAAAAATAATTTAGTTATAGTTTAGTTTTTATTTTGATAATCAAACAGAAATAGAAATCTTGTTTCATTTCAACTGGTACATGAATGAAATGAAGTTATGTTTACTTTTTAAATGTGACAAACGATAGAAAATCAAAATAAGAAATAAGTGAAACGCGTTTATTGTTTGTTTATTTTTTATGTTATACAAATATATTTCGTTTTTATATTTTGTTTAGTGAAGTTTTGTGTAGATAGTAGAAGATTTGAATAAATCATTTCGTATGACAAAATATATAATAGAAGAAAGGATCCAAATTATTAACAGATAATTAGTTAATTTTAATAGTTGAAACCATGAGTCAATTGAAGGTAGACCACTATGGAAAACCTCGAAGCACTGAGTGGCCATTTCTTCCTATTGTTGGACTCCTCAACAGTGCGCATCCACGATCCTGCCTCGCGAGATTAGGACCCAGGACACATCAGTCTTGCACGAGAGCTCTTAACCACTAGACTGCTGAGCCGGCATCCAACGGCGCTAATATCTAACTTCCACTAATACACGAAATTGAACGACACATCCACCATTGTCATCAGTAAGATACTATCTCATAACAGACCCTGTTTAACTCCACTGGCCACAGCTTCTCACTAGAACTCCAGGATATACATCTTGAAGCCAGTCACTAGTGAGCATATGTTGATTAGTATCAGAAGGGGTTTTGTGGAGATTGTAGTAATTTTAGAAGTTGAGCTTATGAGTCAATTGAAGATAGACCACTATGGAAAACCTAGAAGCACTGGATGGCCGTTTCCTCCTATTGTGGAACTCATCACCAGTGGGCATCCACGATCCAGTCTCGCGAGATTTCTTCATGGTGCTCTAGCTTTAATTCACTCATGATTTCAACTATTAAAGTTATTATATTATCCACAAAACCCCTTCTGATACTAATTAGTTAATTACTGAGATAATGTTTCAATAAATGACATAAACCACTTTACGATGTGATGGGCTAATTTTGTAACCCAGGAAAAGAATTTTCTTAACATTGCATAAAGGTTTCATTGTTTTCTGGATAGTAAACCAGAACAAGCTTCAGATAGAAATTAATTATTAAAATTTCACCACATGTAACTAACCTGGTTATTCTGTCTCATACACACGTACAAATGCAGATGAAGACAACTAGTGTAGCAGAAGCCTCTGCATCAGTAGGCCTCAACATACACAAGGGAAAAACGAGATCCTCAAGTACAACATAAAAAGCACTAACACAATCACACTTGGTGGAGTAACTCTAGAAGATCTGGAATCCTTCATGTACCAGATAAGCATCATCGATGAACGTGGAAGATCTGAATCAGACGTAAAGGCGAGGACTGCTAAAGTAGGGACCACATTCCTACAATGAGAGAATATATGAAACTCAAAACAACTGTCTGCAAACCAACAGCGATGTCAGAATCTTTAATACGAACGTAAAAGCAGTTCTACTGTACGGAGCTGGAACGTGAAGAGCTACCACAACCATCATCAAGAAAGTACAAGTATTTATAAATGGTTGTCTACCCAAGATACCCCGTTGACCGGATATCACAAGTAACAGCCCACTGTTAGAGATAACAATTCATATTACAGCTGAAGAGGAAAAGATGCTGCAAATGAATAGGATATATGTTACGGAAATCATCAAACTGCATCACGAAGCAAACGATTACAAGGAAAAGAGGGAGGCCAAAGAACACACTACGTCGGAAGTCGGTAGCAGACGTGTAAAGGATGTAAAGCAACTATAAAGAACTAGAAAGGATTGCCTAAGACAGAGTTCGATGTAGAATGTTAGTGGGTGGTCTGTGCTACCCCACAATGGTAACAGGAGTAAGTAAGTAAGTAAGAACATGTAACTGACAGCTTGTTTTGCCAACAAGGACTGGATGCTATTAATATCTGCCCGGTAACTAATTGTATATTTTTTTGACGGTCTTCCAACTTGGCTCAATTTTTGGTTTTATAGTTGTATATGATAATTTCTAATTAGTAACTGAATTGGATCAATTTCTATACGTTTATTGACTGCGTTTAGTCTGAATGCCAAGCTTCTAAAATTTCCCTAGTTTTATTTGTATTCCCTTTTTCAACTATTACATTTCCCAATGAAATATCGAAATGTTTTACGATCAATGCAGAGAAATAGATAGTTTAGTGTCGAAGGGAACGTAAGATATTAGTGATTTTGGCGAGACTCTAATTTAAGGACGACCTTTGAACGAATCTTAAGTGACCTTGACAATTATTAGCCAATCAGAAGAAAGTTAGTATAAAGTGAAAATATATGAAAGTAATGAATTACAGTGGATATTCTTCTTTTACATGATTTAAAAACTTGTTAAGGTTTGATTAAGGTTCAGAGGTTCTGAATTCACAATGCATATGGAATAGAAACTCGTCTATTGGGTTAGAGTTAGGTTTACGGGTAAGGTTAGGGTTAGGTGAGGGTTTATGGTTAAGGTTAGGGTTAGGTGAGGGTTTAGGGTTAGGGTTAAGGTTAGGGTTAGAGTTAGGTGAGGGTTAAGGTTAGGGTTAGGATGCTAACATACGAGTTTTTAAATCATGTCAAATAAGAATATCCACTGTAATTTATTACTTTCTTTTAATATATTTTTACTTTATGCTGTCTTCTGATTGACTAATAATTGAAATTGCTCAAACGCTTCTGATTGGCTCGTCCCTAAATTAGAGTCTCGCCGTCCTATCTGTTGTAACCTCTCATTAATCACCTACTCTCTAAAATCCGCTGTGAACCGATCGTATGTTAGCAGCGCGTGTTGAACTTGGCTCCGTGACCTTGAAATTGCTCAAACGCTTCTGATTGGCTCGTCCCTAAATTAGAGTCTCGCGGTGATTTTAATTGATTAAAAATTCTGAATCTGTTGAAAATCTCCTTAACATGAAAACAACCGACTACAGTACATTTTAGACATTTTAGAGTTCTACACATATCCAGTAGACATATCTTATTATTCATGATTTCACGAATATTGTACAAACAATATCAATAAAATACAAATTGAAGAATTTGAACATTGATTAGAATCAATATTGAATAAGTAAACTGATTAGACAACTGTGCTAGCGTTTTTTAATCAACAGAAAAATCTTAGTAATACTGACGAGATGTTTCGGTTCATCAACTGGCTGTCTTGAGAGTTTTTTTAAAGATATAAAAGAGTACTCAAACTTTAGACAAAAGGAAAGAAAGAAGGAGAAATAGAAGAATATATAATGACTTTTTTTCTCCACTCAATCCAGAAAACTATAGTAGTCTTTAATATAGTGAGTAATTTAATAAAGAACGGAAAAATACCCATGAGAAATACGTTGACTGAATTACTCATTTGCCAGTAAAGCTAATAAGATGATAACTCTTTTGAATATTGTGAGGTTCGAATTCACAGGACATTTGTCTTACTTATTATACCTTGTTCAACTTGACTGTGAAACATTTTCGAAGTGTAAAGATACTTAGAAATACCAGCTAGATTTTCAAGAATCTTAGAGTGACGGGAGATATTGGTCACAGATGATATTTTGTGAAAGATTGCATGAATAATCAGATTGAATTAGGTAAATACATCGACATCAGACGGGAATATACAATTACCTGTGATAAGGGTGTGCGCGAAAGAGCTATCAGAAAGATGTTAGACTATTTTCTTGGAATAGCACCCAAAAAGAATGTCCCCATTTAGACAAATTAAACTTCTCGTGAGGATGGAGATAGAAGACACAAAAGCCTGTATTTGAGTTTTATGAATGTTAACAGCCGTCAGAAAGGCATATTTGTAACTAAAGGACCAGACAAACACAACGCTAACCATCATTCAGTGACCAGCCCATTGTAAATATCTTAGTCCTGCGAGAGGTTAATAACAGACCAAACAGTCCAATGGTAGTCTCAAACAATAAAGCTGGGTGATGTTGGTTTGAATTCACCAAAAAATATTAACCCCTCGAAGATTACAGACTTTCCTTTGTGATGAGTACCAATTATCAAGGAACTTAGGTTCAAGGTATTTCCCCAACTTATTTTGGCTAGGCATTTTTTTCATTACCACTTCCTTACTCACCTTTAATGAAATCATAAATGTTTTTTTTTCTTAAATGAAATACACTAATTTATATAATTTCAGATATATATAGAATCAAATATACAACATAATTCTTTCCAAAAATTAATAGACAATATTAATCCATTTCTTAATTATTTGGTGAATAAAACGATCGAGAAATCAGAAGATTTTTCCAAAGATTCAATTAAAGGTTTAAGTAAGTGTGAATATGATGTAACAATATAAAATACTATTGATAATATCTTCATGACTTTTTACTAATATAATTGAGTGTAACATATAAAAGGATTCATTCGAATTAAGAGGCAATCTGAAATAATAATAGTAATATAGGTTTCTACGCATTAATTTGTTTAGTTTTCCAAACAAAAGAAATCTACTGAACAGAATCATGTATTTATTAATTTATGATGATGCATTCATACTATTAAAATATCATAAATTTAAAGTAGTGAATAATAATGTTCAATTTGAGCTTATGATTTTCAGACTTAATCTACGTGCTGAAGATGAAACTAACTTTATTCTGTGTTTTTATTTCAAATTCTAATTGTTTTATAATCACGGTTTGTGACTCAAGTTGTCTAGTTTATTCTTTAGCAATCTTGATTGTAAATTAGTATTGACATTATAACTTAAGCTATGACCTAAGCAAAAAACGTATTTACGCATAAAGTTATGTAAATAATGATCTGAAAATACTTCTTTGTCAATAGTTATTCTGTGTTAGATAACCGGTGCAAAACACTTGAACCTAAAATTACGGATTCATAATGACAAATTAAACCGTTATTTGGTAAAACATGAATACCATACATTCAATAATTTAATTGTATAATGTCTATCGATCATCTCAGACTTTGTTGTTTCTTCGTTTCCATACCAATCAGTATCTGTTCCAATTCTCTTCTATTCGGTCTTCTCTACTTACTGCTGCCAGGCATTTCACTTTCGACTGATGGTAGATATGTTACTTACATCTGTCGACATAAGTACTACACACCACAGTATTACTTTAAAATGAAAAATAATGGTGTTAAACAAGATTGAGAAAAAACGATGAGAGCATTTTATTCACTTGTTTTATTTCATTATTATTTTTTGATAATTTTTAAATTAGCTAAATCATGATTTTAAAAATGGCATCATTTTATGTCATTTAAATTTATTTTGTTTTTCTTTTCTGTTTAAAACAAGAAATAAGTTTTAATGCCTTTGATGCTTTTTGGTATTCTATGGTCGAAGTCTACAATATATGGATAAAAATGCCATCAAAGTTCAGTGAAAATATATACAATCTCCTTGTTAATGATGCCAGAAATTCTGCGAAACTAGAAAATATTACAGTTTATTTAAAACAGGTGAATGAACGCTTAAAAATCTCTGTGAGTATTTTAAATTGGCTAGTATTTGGATATATTTTGAATGTGTATCTTTTAATAATGTGTAATCCCTTACTAAACAATATAAACATAATATAAAGGTATGGATTTAAATAAACGATACTCTTCGTTCTCTATGTATGAAAATCAGTGTTTATACAACGCTGAAACAGAAGAAACATAGCTGTATCTAGGACGTCAAATGTACTGATTGCATTATTGTGTGTGTAAGTAAAACATAAAGACAAGTGATTATGTTGGTGAAGGAACATGGAAAATGTTTCAAACAAATTCCTACATCTTCAGACTATATCATAAACGTTAAAGATAGGTTGGTTACAGTATTTTACTCAGTTGAATAGCACACAAAATTGATTTCTATGGATCAACAATCCTTTAAAAAGGATTGACTTAAACTTATTCAGTCATACATAAATATCGATTTCAGCAATGCTATGTATATTCGAGACAATTCAAATAACCGGGTATGATGTAATCAGCTGCCGTATCTTAATTATTGCGTAATAAATTAATAAAGAGAAAAATTGGTATTTCCGACTACTCATGCTCTCAGTTCAACCTTAAAGATTAGGAATCTTTAAAACGACTTATGTACATTGTTTAGTCATTTGTTTTATTCCGATAAATACAGTAAGTCATAAACATATAAGTAGGTGTTTGTTTTCACCCGTTCTTGATATTCAAGACTGCGATTGCTATATGTGCAGTCTTGGTTGGTTATCTCGATTTGGTCTTTGGACACACATTTTAGTATATTTGAAATGCGGCTAACAGTGAAATCTATGAGTTCCTTTTAGTTCTATTCTGGATTTGTCAGTTGAGTGTTGAATATATCATAAGTTTGTTGTTTGCACTTGAACTGGAACTGTGATAAGGTACTAATAAACATGACCTTAACCCGGAACAAAATATTTTTTATCTTAGATTAAACCTTGTTCTGATCAGTATGTATCGTCAGAATATGATATTAATTTTCAATAGATGAATATAACACAGTTTTAAAGTTGATAATGTTTTAATTCAAATATGTGACAATTTTTCCCAATACAATACTGAATAAAGTGAGAACATAATAGATATTAGTGAATATTTTATCCTTAAATCCTCTATATCATTTCAATGAAACCTTCTATACATTAGAACTACAAGCCTACTTTGCTGATGCGTACGCTTTTTGTATCAAAGCCTTGTTCTCTGTAATTCATATGTTTCAGAGCATATATTTCGAAGTCACTGACAAAGGATATATAACTTCCGACATGAGAAGAATTGCAGTTTGCTACCGAAGTAACTTTTCCTACGCATATCTGATTATTTTCACTTGGGTATTCCCGATAAATGCAAGCACATTTGCATCAATGTCACATTATCCAGCAATTCTCTAGTTTTTACTGATGACGAAACCATATAATAAACTACTCTGGTAATAATGACTTTCAATCTGAAATGAACAGTCCTGTTGTCTATATTTTCCTTATCGTCTTAATTGTTCTCTTCAACCAATTAGTCTTGTTTGGCCTTTTTTTTGTCATATAAATATCTTGACAAGTTAGTATGTGATCAGGTTGATTGAAATGTAATGGGCTAATATATCACTTAGTTCCGATGAATCAATTTTTTTTCATCTCACTGTCAAACTGGATCACAGCAATCCACTCGTGGTGTAGGTACTGGCCTAATTAACTCAATATTTCAGTGCCGAGTCTTTGATACTTGGTGGCAATATTTCTGAGACATGCAATAATATGAGACCCTATCATATAGAGACCATTAATTCCAAAATGATTACAGATAACCCTCTCTGAAGCATACTTTTATGTACTACTTATGATTTTGAGTTATATACACTAAATACTACTCACTTTCTTTCTTCCCTCATTTATAAATTGATTTCATTCAGTATAGTTTATTTGAAAGCATTCAAAACAATGTAAGCACTATAGGGCAATGTGCCAGTGATAGAATCAGTGAACAATGGTGGGATGAAAATTCCAATTATGAACAACTGAATCAGTTCATCCAACTAATTAGACAGAAGGAAATAGAAGAATCTTACAAGATACTATTCAAACCACATTTGAGGACTTTCACCAAATCAATGGATAAAAATCAATATTATTTTAAAATATATATTCCACAGTTAATCAAGATATTTACCTACTACGTACCGAAAATTTGGCCTTATTACCTACAGGTATAAAAATAATATTGAACACTTTGGATGTTTTCATTTTTCAGTGTACCTTATAATTTAAAAATATACACAACTGATTGAATAGATTGTGGATAACTACGACTTTTTTTATGTAACGAAGTTTTTAATATATTCCGTCATGTTCATACATCATATTATTCTGCTGAGCTATAATGTACATCCAGTTTGTTAGTTACTATCTTCAACGTAGCTATGTAAGTTAAACTTTTCCGCATAGATTTTATGGGACAATATAAGCATATAAGGTTTATTTACTGTCAACCTATAATTTTTGGACGACCTTTGAGCAACGCTAAAAGGATATTGAAAATATCCACCTACTAACTAGGACTAAATGAGGGGTATAAAGTAGTGTGAGGAATTGTAATTATGATTTTCAGTTGATGGTTAGGGTTAGGAATTAGATTTAGAGTTTTCATCATGAACTGACATCAGCTATAATGCCAAAATAGTATTTAGTGTGCATGAATTTTCCGCTAAAATCCTAGACCTATTATCTTAAATCTGACTGGTTCGTCCACAAATTATAGTCTCGCCCCACCAGCCGTATGAAAGTCATAACTAATTATTACGTACACCTTAATGAAGCTTTAGGAAATTAGTCATATTGCCCTACTTGTAGATATCATAAAATAAATTCAGTCATGATGTTCCCTTATTATGATGAGCAATCTCGTTCTTTGTTTTCAAGTGCTTGTTTAATTTTTCCATGACTCCTCATTTAATTCCTAAACATTTTACAACAGTACTACACTATACTTAAAGAAATATACATTTTGTATTATATTATCAGGTTCCAAAATTATTATCAGTTTTGCCCTTAATTCTAGATGAATTGAGATTCCATTGGTCTAGAAAAAATATTTTAAATGAAACTTATTCTACAAGACAGCTATAATTTATTCTGGCTGCCGTATCTCTTAAGTCGTAACAATCATCTATTGTCTTGAGTAAAATGTTTATGATAGGTTCAGTTGACAGTACATTCTGACAGTGTTTCGAGACATTACTTTTTCAGCTTATGCCATAGAAAATGATGAAAACTACAGAATTTAATTACTTGACACTATGTGAAGTAGTCATGTAATCTATAACACTAATCAAATACTATAAACTAGGTCATATTCTATTAAATTCAATTATTCAACACCACTGTGTTAGTTTGACAACAAGCTATAGATACCTAGACTTACTATAACCAAATAAGTCATGGACTCATGTAATGTAGAATATTTGGTGGAGTTTTGTTCTCTGAGCTAGATCATTTGGTCGTGGAGAAATTCGAACACTTCTCTTCTACTTAACTTTTGTGCTGATGGTATTGTTCAGAAGAACGATCATTCACCTCAGAACACATTAACTCCACCAAAATCATCCACTTGAGCTACAAACTTTCTCCATCTCAGTGTAGTATATTCATTTACTATAATATTTACTAAACAGAATAAAAACAGATTGTCACTTCTCATTCATCTCATATGTATGCAAAGATAGTTTTGTTCGACCCAACAATTCCTTCGTTATTTTTTCATTGGTACATCAACTGTAACGAAGACCACTTAGATATTATTCTTGTCACTGTTATTATCGCTGTCATTGTAATCACATCACTACTACTAATATTTTTAAATGGTTCTAATCTTATCTCTTAGTCTAGTTTATGGACAATAATTCATAAATGTTTCTTACAATTGACCAAGTTATAGATTATCTCGCTTATTCTGTTCTGAAATAAATTCTACTTGTCTATTTGTGAAATATTTTTAACTGTTTCTCAAGAAACTAAGTTTGAACAAATGATTTTCTGTAGTAACTTTTACCCCTGCTTTATAAAACTACTATGTAATGATAATGTGAGGTATGTTTAATACGTCAGTTACATCTTATATTAAACTCTTTATATGGACAGATGTTTTCTTAAGTGGTAGTCTGAACGTTTGGAAACCAGAAGGCACTAGCTAACGACTGGACAAAATTGCAAACTAACTGAAGTTGAAATTGAGATCAACTGGATATCAACTCAATACAATTGGTCAACAAGCTCTCCTCCAGATCTGAAGGTACTGGACTATTCCATTGTTGAGATGTATACTGATGAAGACATTCACACTAGGACAAAACCTATGACCAATACTTCGTGACTTTGAATGGTCGTCTAGCCAAAATAATAAGATGATGTATTTGGAAAGATAGTAGTAGTATTGATAAAGCGTTTGGTATGTTATCAGCACCGTAGAAAGACGGACAGATAGATAGATATACAATTAGCTAGAACTGTTCACTACGTCTATTACATTTCATCATTGAATATAGTAACATCATGTTTCTGTCTATAAATCAGTTTACCACCTATTGTGAATTCGTTAAGATTTTTATATTTTTTAAGAAATTTTTTTTTAATTTTCTTTCTGAATATACTCGTTTAACTTTTCATATATTACTTAATTATTTTAATAATTACACAATTAAAACAATTTAAGTAGTATAACAATCTATATAAATGCTTGATGTATGGGGATTCCTTTTATCATTATTTTTTTTCTCTGATAGAAATTTTCCAAAAACGTTAGAATAAAATTTTAACTATCGGTATTTTAAGTAGAATAAACTGACAACTTGTACATTATCCTTCATAAAATTGAAGTTGGTTTGAAATATTGTTCAATATTGCGAAATTCAATAGTTTGCATATTGAGTTGTTAAAATAAAATTGTTTGTTCTTTCACTTTTGACTGACTAAAGAATAATCGTTGAAATAGAATTACAATGTAAAGTACGCGCATTTTAGTTGGATTAAAATACAGGTGAGACTTTAACTTATGGACGATCTTTGAGCGATGCTAAAGTGACCTTGACAGTGTTCACCTAATAACTAGGACTAAATGAGGGTTATCAACAATCGTGAGGAATTAGAATTATGATTTACAGTTGATGGCTAGGGTTAGAAATTAGATTTAGAGTTTTCATCACAAACTAACATCAGTTATAATGCCAAAATGGATGGGTGAATTACGCGCCAAAATTTGAGACCTGTTATCTTACACTTAAATGGTTCGTCCACAAATTATAATCTCGTTTAGTGTTATTCACTATGAAGTAGTAATTTGATAAAATTTTGTTAATAAGATGATTAGATTTAGTCTGTATCATAGTGTGTAACTGTTACCTTTTGTGCGATTATCCGTTCATTGGTTCATTTATTTTGAAATGCAACTATTGATTCATGTTTTCAAATTGCTTAGACCTCTCTTTTCTTTCTAAACCATACAGAGTTGATCCATTAGAAGATATAGTTTATTTTCAGAATGAATTAAACTTTAGACTGAATTATTCCTATGGACATTTGATTTTATGTGAGCTAGTAGTAGAATCCAAGACGTGCGGTTTGTACTATTTGAGACTCACTAACTGGATATACTTACATCTCAGTGTTGGTGTTCACATTGAGACTCAAACCATGTTCCTTTCGCTCCAACATACTATATTACCTAATAAGCTATCAAGTTCAGATAACTATTAGATTGCTCAAAGAATATAGTATTTACATTATTATTGATAATCCTTTAAATTATCCGGTTCTTCATATTCAAGACTGGACATATCTTCATCGTGAATAGAATGACTTTGAAAAAACAAATGAATGGATAATTAATTACTTAACTTCTTGATCTCAATCAATGACATAATAAACTCCACAGCCCTATACTGGTAATAACCATATGCTCACTGATGACTAGCTTCGTGAGGTAATTCTCAGAGTTCTAGTGAGAAGCTGTGACCAGTGGAGCTAATCCATGTCGGGTGGAGACAGATATCTACCTCAGTACAATGGAGGATGGTCGCGCAATCTCGTGGATTGGTTAAGGTTAAACATTAACACCATTGGGTGCTGGATCAATGGTCTAGTAGGTTGGGCTTTCATACGCGAAACAGAAGGCCCTGGGTTTGAATCTTGCGAGCTGGATCGTGGATGCGCACTGCTGAGGTGTCTCACCATAGGAAGAAACAGCCATCCGGTGCTTCTAGGTTTTTAATAGTGGTGCAACATCAATCAGTTCTTGATTTGAATAAATAATATCATTTATAATTCAATACTGTAAACATTTTTTTAAACTTTGAAACTCATTCTTGTTACTTTTATAAAGTTAGCTAACAGCTTCCCTCCATAAGGAACAGTTTATTGACTGTATTGTTTCATTTATCTCTTTACCATAACATATAACTCTATCATATAATCATATATTTATTTAATGTCAAATATAACCGCTCTTTTTTTAATCTTATTTTCATACATTTTCTTCTTTCAATATTCATATTAGATCTTAGAAGAACAATCAAAAATGAAATCACAAGTAAACCAACTAACAACAGAATCTAACAATTTTGTATAAACAATATTTCTTTTTCTATCATAAATATCATAATGGAATGCTTTTTTCTTCTTCCTTAATCCTAATGATAAATGACAAATTCATACTACTGTTATATACATAATACAAAAAAGAATTGGCAAAATATTTGTGAACTTATGACCATGTCTTTTGTTTTGTTTTGAAGTTTTTTTTATTTGATGATAAAATAAATGATGAAAGACGATTGACGAAAACACATAGAAATCATTAAATTGAATTGAAATTATGAATCAACCTAATTAAACAATCATTGAAAATATGAAAGTACTGGACGGTTGTTCCGTTAGTTTCTGAAATTCTAGTGAAAAACTAAGACTAATAAAGTTGAACTGTATCGAGTCTGATGTAACTACCAACTGAAGGTAATGGAAGATGGTTGTGTAATGCCATGGATTGATGCCCTGGTACGGCCGAGAGTAGGGAGATTCAGCTCTCACACGGCCACGTAAATACAACCACTACCAAAGAAGCTCTACTCACTGCCTCTTCGTGGCTGGGGTGTCGTTTACGAAATTGAGAGGATGAAAAGTGTTATACCTTGCGGACCTGTGTGCCCTGTATATCGGATAATGCAACGATACCGCCAATCAGAGAGCAGCGAATTATCTATCGAACCAGTGATGCATAAAACACGTACGAACAGTCTAGAGTCTTTATTGGTCTTCCATCCCATCTAGCCCAGCCAGTTAAGTCCAGAACACCAATCTCAGCCTCTGCAATATGAATCATTTATTTCAAACGTACTCGGTTTTTATATCAACCAGACAGACCACAACGTACCATAAAATATAAAACAACATTTGTACAATATTTAGCCAAAAGTGGCTGTGAATGAGAGAGATAGTAATTAATAGACAGGCCATAACTCAAGAATGGTAAATCGTATAATAATAGTTCATAGGTCAGAATAAAACTTATCATAAGAGGGACATGAATATGAACAGTTTAGTTACATAACAATTATACGATAAAAATATACTCATAGTATAGGTCCATAAATGGATCCCAAGAATCACTATTCATTATTCTTATCGGGATATAACAAAAAGCGAATGTTCGGCACTTTAACTGGGTTGGTGGACATGGAGAGCCCACCTAGGGGAGTTGGAAAATTCTGATTCCAAACCAATGGTGTACATGGGCTCCAGTATCCTGAAGGAACAAATGGCGTATGAACTCATTTTTCGTCACCGGCTATCATAGGACTGCATCTCCTTACGTTGCTGCACTGCCTCGTGGATCAAACCTTTGTATCGGAGGCTCCGAGTGTGACCCCCTAAGTAAACCACCTACTTCGGTCTGGGCACACAGGCAGTATCACAGCACTCACACATATCAAATGAGATCTGTGTGGTGCATATGTATTTGGTGCCTCCTTGTACCAATGTTTATGTGTTTAAATAAATAAATAATGAATATCAACACCATTGGATGCCGACACATTGGTCTAGGTGTTAAACGTCAGTGTGTAAAACGTAAGTTCCCTAGTTCGATTCCCGGATGTGCAGTTGCCAATATACACACCTGAGAAGTACTACACTAAACCGAAACGGCTGTCTAGGGCTTCCAGATTTTCACTGGTGGTCTAATTTATATCGGTCCATGATTGCAATGAAATTCAACGATCTCCACAACCCTAACTGACAACAAATAAATTAGCTTGAAAAGAAAATAATAAAAAGCATGAGACACTACAATGATACATTTTACTGATTAACTATTTACGTAAATAGAAATTTTGTATAATTATCATATTAATTTGTTGACAGCATTGTTACCGAGTCAGTAACAATAAGTGGCACATAAGACAGTTATAAATGCTATATAGTTGATATTTTGTATATTTAGTCTACCACTGATGAAAATAATCAACAATTGATAATTCAAATATTTGGCTTATTTCTGATTTATACCTATTAATTACATTTTCAATAATGTACGATTGCTTTATTAGAAATGTGGATGAAATTCACTTTTAAAAATGATGTCATAAAATCTTTGAGAATATAGTTAACATAAATTATAAGATAAAAGAAATCGACTAATTAGGAACTTTGATATTTAAGGATGCCTAGAATTTGTTTAAAAGTTCACATTTGGTTGATGATTTGTTTAGTCTAAACCTCTTAACTGGAAATTAATGTTTAAAAGATAATGCGCTAACTAAGAGACTTGAAGGTTCTATGTCCAATCTATGGAGCTAAAATGGTGGTACACAGCTAAGTACTTTCATATTAAATGGAAAGCTTTGTCTGCTTCTCTACGTTTTTCATTAACAACCTTACTGACGTCATCCAACGACGAAAATTAACTAAGAACCCATCCATATTTCATTATGCTGACATTCGTTAAAGGTTAACTGCAATAACAAGATGAATGATCTATTTAAGAAGTGAATTTTCACTTTCACAACTAAAGAAAACTTATGAAGAAATTGAAAGTTATTATTAGAATGGAGGTTTGTGGATATTGTAGTAATTTTTTAACGGTTGAATTCACTAGTCAACTTAAGCCAGACTATTACTAGAAATCTCGAAGCACTGAACGTCCATTACATCCTAGTATGAGACTCCTCAGCAGTTTGTACCCACGATCCTTCAGGCGGACGCTTAACCTCTAGACCACTGAGCCAACATCTAACGATGTTAACGTCTAACTTCAATCGATTCATGGTCTTGCGCAACCATTCATCGATTGTCCGAGGTAAATACCTGTCTCTAACTGACGCGGATTGGACTCCGTAAGTCACGGCATCTCACTAGAACTCCAGGAAATCCATATTGATGCCAGTCACTAGTGAGTACATTATTTAAAGTTATTTCTTTCCTTTATTTAAAAAACTTTAATCTCATTCATGATATAATGCAACAGTTTTAGTATTTGTATTTATCCAGTAATTAGGTGCTTATCCACTTTTAATCATTAACAATGAACACGAAAGTGTACACACAATACTTTCTCACAAATTCAAACCATTAGTAACTACTAACCATAAAGTACACACTGATATGATTGTAAAATATTTAGAATTGCAACATGAAATTGATGTCAACATTTCATATGAACACTAACAATATCAAACAATATAAATCACAGAAATAACCACAACAAAATGGTTTGTTGAGCACAGTCACTTCAATAAATTAAATTTCATTCACCATCTAATTTATGTTACTAGAAACTGTTTTGGAATACATAAATGAACTTCTAGAACAAGCATTATAAGTTTTTCAGATAATCAGTTTAAAGATGATTTTTATTAGCTGTAAGACTAAAACTCTATCTGATCAGATATATAAGCTATTTTGATTCTGATTGATCGGAAGACTATAATAACTGTGCTGATGGATAAGTTCTGCAGTTCAATGAAATGATTTTGTTGAAATTATATGCCTATTGACGGTATTTTTAATAGTGAGGCTTGTATAAACAATACGATCAATACAAAATCCACATATAAATAATAAATTTTTTTAACATTAAACCTTTTCTGTTATTATCTACAAATTATCTTTACCCCTAAACCAAATTCTTGGTCTTTCTTGATTTTTCTAAGTGGTTATTAAATCCTACGTAAAATTTATAAGTAAGTGAAAATGTAAAATGTGAAAAAATATGTGTACTATTTGATTCATAGATCACTTTTATTATATGTGTATTGACTTGATTGCAAAAGTAGTTTATAAATTTTTGTTTTAATTTTTATGGTTACTGAGAGTAAAAATAGGCAAATAGGCATACAAGCATTTACATGTATATGAAAATTTACATGGATAAAAGTTAATAATTAACCAAAATGATTAAAACAAAAGTTAAAAATGACATATTTACTTGTCATGTTTTTCACTGTGAGTTCATTCAGTTGTTTTTTCTTCAATATTTACTAATTTTTGTAGTAGACGGCATTTTCCGACGTTTTTATTTCAGTTCATTTTGTATTGTTTACTTGAATCTTCTTATTGTTGCTTAGGACTGCAATTGATCAGTCTCTTATCGGCATATGCGCATTCTGTACAGATTTCCTCAATATTGTCTTAAGTCGCAAACATTCTAAGCAAAGATCAATTGTAGTCCTAAACATCGATGGGAAGATTAAAATAAACAATACAAAATCAATTGGAACTTCACCCCATTTCACAAGTTAGTGGCTATCAGGACTTGGTAGCTGAGTGGATAAAACGATGGGGTTTAAAGAGAACGGTACTGAGTTCGAGTCCTGCGGTGAATATCAACTCTGCCATCCCGGTACATCCAGCTGACAGGTCCCAAATAGAAAGAAACATAAGTCCTGAATTCCATCACTAGCCATCGTCTATTTCCCAGTTAATTTGATGGGTGAGTGGGGAGTATAAGATTGTATTTTTATTAAAGATTTTATTACAAACATCTGAATTTATCTACATTTGAGTAGGGCACCCAAACACGCCTGATCAAAAGTACAAGTATAGTAACAGTCAGAGCTTTATGTCGAATCTATAATGGAAATTAACTTTTATATTTAATGCTCATCTTCTAAATAAACAGAAATTTATTCATAACTGTTTAATGCGACACGTATACTGAACATTCAAAGTGGATAAAAAAGCTCGTGAGCTTTCAACCTGTTCAGACAAGAATGGATTAGCGTAAATAAATAATAAGACTCTAAATACATAATAAGAGGCTGAAATAAATGGAGTTTTAACAAAATATTAGGGGAAGTATTTTATGAGTTTATAGCTGTTCGGTTGATGAACTGTTATTATGCGAAGTAGCTTAGCAGTGACTATCGATACTATATCCATAAATGAATGTTAAAATGCAACAAATAGTAATAATGCCCACAGTCCAGTGAATATTTAAGTTTTGTACATTGTGAAATTCACAGAATAAATTCAGTTAACAAGTGAATATTGTCCGCCTATTTTCCCTAAAATATAATTGTTTATGACACATTATATTGAATTTTTGTCTATTAAGAACAGTAAACTTTTGAAATAATAATGTTGTCAAACAATAGATCCAAATACGCTTCACATTACATAGATAGATTGATATTTACAAAAATTCATTCAATGTTAGCACTCTAAGAGATCGTCAAACAAATGGTGATATTCCCTTGTTGTGAAATTGATTATCAG